GTGCGTGCGTGCGTGCGTGCGTGCGTGCGTGTGACGTGTGTGTAGTGTGTGCGCGCCCCGCGAGTATGTATTAGCTACTGTGCTTGTGTGTACATTTGAGGAAACAGCCCTGGAAAAAAGTCGCCCTGGAAAGTGGAAAAAGAGCCCTGGAAAATGAAAAAGTAGCCCCCGAAATTTTGGGGGGTTTGCAAAAAGAGCCCCGGAAAGAAAAAAATTAATTTTTTCACTGGTGCGTGTACCCGCGTGTACGTGCGTGTACCCGCATGTACCTGCGTGTACGTGTGTGTACCTGCGTGTACGTGCGTGTACCCGCGTGTACGTGCGTGCACCCACGTGCACGTGCGTGTACCCGCGTGTACGTGCGTGTACCCACACACAACAATGCACACACACACACACACACACACGCGCGCGCGCGCGCGCACACACACACACACAAACGCAACATTGAATATTTCCTGCAACTAGAACTACCACAAATGACGTATTGACTGAACAAAAATGTAACATAAATTCTGAATTGGTTTAGATTTACGTTTACTTTGATACAGTATGGGCGCCATAGGATACAGTGCATACATACCTATAGCACATACCGCCATAGCATACATACACGAACAGCCGAAGCACGCCACATGTAAGGTGCAAGGAAGCATTTCATCTCTTCAAAATCTGCTACCACAATTAGAAGCTTCTTAGCCACACTTAACCCCTGCGTGTCATGCCTTCACAGGCCTTGCACAGTATTCTCGTAGACACAGAAGTTACCTTCTCGGCGGGATTTCGCTTTACACTACGGCTTGCCAAAACAATAAAAACACGCGGGAAATCGCGCGTTGCTTGATGTACGATAGCCTAAGTACTGCCCCTGACCTGTCCTTAATATTCCTCCTTAATAGCAACAACGTTGAGTTAGCGAGACGTTTGTGAAACGTGGAAACTTAGCGAGGCTTTCGTGAAACACTCTATATATAAGGATATCCTAAAACCCCTCTTTAACCCATCACTAACTTAACGAGCGCTTCGTGAAACGGCCCCCAGGTCCATCCCCCACTGACACAGGCACTTGAAGCGTTTCAATAAAATATAATGGTAAATAAATACGAAATCTATTTACTACCAAATTCTTAATGTTTCTATACTCTCTTTCACCTATTACTATTAGTATTATTGCCGACAGTTTCCTGTAAATTCTGCCCAAATCCTGTGTGCAACAAACACTGACTGCCGCCATTCCTCACGCGGCTGCAGTGTGCACACTGACACTTATATATATAGCAGGTAGGAAAGCGGGATCGCAAAATTCGCTCGACGCTCGCTGGATTTCACACGATTACAACACAAATATTCAACCATTGTACTCCATCTTTGTTTCTATGTCAAGAACAGTGTTCACTTGTTATAAAAACATACTGTCTCTGTTTGTAACCGAGCTGTGTCACGCGAAATCCCACAAAGATTGACAAAATTTTCGCGTTCGCTCCCTTTGCCCAGTAAATGTAAATAGCTGCCAGAATCAGGTAACACCCACCGGCGCTCTTCGTGACCTCATTCTTGCGCCGCAACGCTGCAACCGTTTTTACAACGCTCCAATGGCGAGGCTCGTACGGGAGTTGGAAAGCAGCGTGGTAGTTTCCCAAAATGCAGTGCGCTGCCTATAGCCCTTAGACTGGTACTCGCTCCCACCTCTCGGCTTAGTTACTCGATAGGTCCCCCCCGATGGGTCCCATTGAGTAATCGAGGTGGGAGCAAGTACCAGTCTACTATAGCCCTGTACTTGCAGCCATTTACATTTACTGGGCAAAGGGAGCGAACGCGAGAATTTCGTCAGTCTTTGTGGGATTTCACGTGACACAGCTCGGTTACGAACAGAGACATTATGTTTTTATAACAAGTGAACACTGTTCTTGACATAGAAACAAAGATGGAGTACAATGGTTGAATATTTGTGTTGTAATCAGGTGAAATCCAGCGAGCGTCGAGCAAATTTAGGGATCCCGCTTTCCTACCTGCTATATATATATATATAAGTGTCAGTGTGCACACTGCAGCTGCGTGAGGGAATGGCGGCAGTCAGTGTTTGTTGCACATATGATTTGGACGGAATTTACAGGAAACTGTCGGAAATAATAGGTGAAAGAGAGTATAGAAACATTAAGAATTTGGTGGCACGCCACAGTCTACACGCCACAGACGACACTCCAGTCGCCAAGGCTACAGCATGTAACCATTATGTATACAATTGTAACAATATAATATATGTATATATATTATATGCTGTGGCATGAGTGTGGGGGCGGACTTGATCCCGCTACCAGCGGCAGCGGGATTTGGAATTGTCAATTCGCATTTGATGTACGTGGCTGATAGTGATTACTCTTAGTCTTAATCTTATGGCAGAGGTGCGATTCCAGCAATATTGGGGCTTGTTGTTAGTGCATTATGAGTGTTTCATCTGAGAGGATATGTCACACACCCCGTAGCCATATAGTCAGGAAGGGAGAGAGGCGAGGGAGGGGGATGAGGTCAGGTCAGGTGAGGGGGAGGGGGGCGAGGGGAGATCAAGTGAGGGTGAGGGGAGGGAGAGGAAGCAGAGCAGTAGTGATGGATTGTTTCTTTAATTATATTTTCCTCTGGATTGCTGATGTGTCATTATGACCACTCCTCTTCTAAATGCACCTTCTGATAGCAGTATTATGTTGTTCATTACTCAGGATGATTGTTGTAAGTCTAGCCACAAAACAGGCCAGATACTATGGCTGCAGCATTATCGTTACTTCTCAACGCCACCAATAATGCAGCAGCAGCAGCCACTCCGATTTAACTGATTCCAATTCAGCCAGAATTCCACTAAAATGCATGAATTTGCATTTTCATCAAATAGGAGCATGTGAGCTCCCAGATGAAACACCGTTAGCATACACTATAACATTTGACAACGTTATATCATTGTGTATCCTCTGGTTGGTCAAATGTTGCACAAAACGTCAGAAAATAACTTCTAGGCTAAGCACTGTAGGTTCTTGCTATCACTTGTGAATTCGCTTACTTTTATAGCCTTAAAAAAGCAGGGGAGCTTCTCAATAGATTGGACAGTGCAAAATTTCCTCTGTTACTCCAGCGGATTGTGCAGAAACTTCATCTTAAGGTGAGTGTTATGACTGCATGCTTACAGTCCAAATTTGAGCTCTTTTGATGAAAGTTGTGTTTTTTATGTCATAAATGATCACAAGTCAACAAACGTCACTTTGGAGTATGACCGAGTAACGTGACTCTGGCCTTGGGGGAAATATATCACTCTAACTATAAATTGTACTAAATGAAGACCTGTGTAGAAACTTTGCATGATCTCACAAACCTACAAGTACAACACATTATTTCAGTAATATCCTATATGTGGCCCGGGTGTTTGATATAAATGACGGTTAATGGATATTGCTGCATTGGTAGCATTTAATTTGATACCAGTATGTAAGTAATGTTTCATAATAGGATGAAAGAGCTTTTACTGATGACGAAGAGGGAAAACTGCATTCAACGTTCAAACTGGATACAGACGAACTAGAGCTAGTTCTGGAGACAACAGAATTTTTCCTGCAGCAGGCTGCATACCATAATGCAAAACCTGCTGTGCTGACCCAACAACTGCAGAGTCTTGGTCTTAATGAAGACAAGGTTAGAATTGCTAAAAATTACTTCATTTCTTTCAGTTATGTATATATACATGTGCTAGGTATTTAGAGCATCCTGTCTGTTGTCTGTATGCGTGTCTCACTGTCTGTCTATGATACCTTCGCATTTAACTTGAATGCATATCAAACTGAAATAAATTTAGAATACTTCGGGTAAAATACATTAAATTACGATATTAATTTGATATGGCCAGTGATCCTGGTGAATCAATGGTAGGGTAAATTCATGTTGTTTTCCATTACTGTTGTAAGCTCTAGTTTTTTATGGATTTGTGCAAATTGCTTTGGTAGGTGGCAGATATTGTAGATACGTGGACAAGTAATGGAAAAGATGTCATCGAAAACTTACGAAAGAAAACCTTGAATCCTAAACAGGTATTTTAAAGATTTATGGCATAGCTGCATAAACACCACATGTCATCTTTTCTACTTTGATGTTTTCTACTAATAATATTCAATAATTTCTGTATTGTTATTATATATATTACATAACTAAATAAATGTATCAACTTTTTATCTTGAAAAGCATCTTGTACCTGAGACATTTAATGTCAGGACTATGGATTGTTTCCATTTTCAGTTGGATACAATTAAGTGGCGGTTAAATCTACAAATGGCACAGTCCACGAGATCTGAACTTAAAGAGCCAAATGCTGCATTTGAACTTGGTATACGGGACCACAACACCAAGGTATTACATATCGGGCGATGTAGGATTTGTAGGCATCATCTTTCCTTGTGAACCAAATAGATGCAAAATGCACACAAGTTGTAGTAGAGGATATTGAGTTTCTTATTGCTACAAATAGCAGGAGTGAGGATAATCTTATTATCAATTCCTTTGTTGAAGGAAACAGAAAAGCTGCAGATGGAATTCACTCATGAAGAACTCTATGCATTCTACAGCCAGGTTTGTGCAGCCAGTTCACTGTCACCATTCTGTGGGACAAGCGTGAATAAATTAATAAATACTCTGCCTAGAAGTTTGAATAAGCAAATAACCAAATGGAAGGTATCGTTAAAATTTCAGTTTATAAACAGGCGATTTCATAGCATTTTAAAAATATGGCGAGGTCTAACAGACCATGTGAAAACCTTTTCAGTAGTAGCCTATTGTTAGCTCATCTGACGTAGTCAGCTGCAGCTTGTAGAATCGCATGATCGTGCGTGCGTGCGTCCGTCTGTCCGTCCGTCCGTCCGTCAACAGTTGGGCACAAATCTTAACCGCTCGACGTACGGTCACGATATTCGGGACGGTGGGGTGGGGGGGGATGGGGTCGTGAAAAGGACGCAGGATGACAAATTTGGGGGGTCAAGGGTCAAAGGTCAAGATGTAAACGGAGGGGGAATATTGACTTTCCACTGACATGCGAAGAGTAAGTGTCTGATAACCTTTTGACCCTCAAGAGGAGGGTTAAACATGGATTCCTGAACTGCCTCAATGACATCACAGTGTTGTCATATTCATGGCACATCCATAATCTAGAAACCCAATAAGCCTGGATAGCCGAATGCGTACAGCACAGGCGTCACGGCTCACAGGTCGTTGGATCGAATCCCATCAGATTTTTTATTATTTACCTGTTTTCTGTATTTTTCTATCTTTATCCATTTAACTATTTTTTTCCAATTAACGCAAATATTTACATGATTTATTTACAACAATTTAATAACAACAAATAATTTTTACAACAATTAATTTGTTATTATTTTTTAATAGGGTTAGGGTTAGGGTCACAATGCACCATAAAACAGGAGTTTCAGGCACGCGATTTGTATCAACCAATGGGATTTGGGAGGTATGCAGAATGCAGAATGCAGAAGGTTGCTGAAATGATGTGTACGCAACCGCGTATCTGCATATCTGCGCCTAACAAAGGTGTCACTACGCACGACTTAAATGTTACGTTTATAACTGTAGCAACAGACCTCAGATGAGCACAGACGCTCTGCGGCTCTTGTTTTTGTTGAATTGTGTTAACTTTATCAAACATTGTTTGTGTAGCATTCCAAGTAGATTGAAGGAGTTGGTTAACAGTTAAAATGACTAGAGTAGGAAATTCCATGTCCAAGTTTTACTTGGTTGCCACACCTGCTGAGCAAATGCTGCTTAGCACCATGAAAATGCATTTCTTTTGAATGACACAAGTTTTATTTAGCAAGCAATTATAATAGAATAGCATTGTTGATTGTTTGCATCACTAGAGATTTATTAAATGTTAACCATAGATTTGTAGCAATACAGTAAGTTAAACCCTGCTATCATGCAAACTTGGATAAATGTCATAATCACTTGGCTAATTTTTTCTCCTCTTTTCTTTCTTAAATTTAATTTATGTCTATCTTGGAACAGTCATAACAACATAAATATCGTTGTGTTATTCACGTACTAGTATTCGTGACTAGCAGGATAATAAGTACCCTGCTATAACACGGCCCTGTATTTTACGTATAATCGAATTTTCTGAACCCTAAGTATCGTATTATAAGGGAGTTCCACTGTAATAATTCCTTATTTTGATCAATAATCATGATATTTTGACCGGTTCTCAACACTAGCCTCACTGTATTCATTCTCGTGATCCATCTAAATTAAAGAGAAAGGTTACGAAGATTGAATGTACGTAGCTGCGAGTTGCCAGGTTTCTCTTCAATGTGAACTAATCATTCTGACTTATTTTTTCCAGTTGGAACAGATTCAGTCACAACTGGATACTCTGAGTTAGTTGTAATCCACTCGAGTAAGTCTTAGCTGAGCAGTAGGCTAACAAGTGTAAATATATATGGAGTAAGTCATAGAGCTAGGACTGTTATCATAAAAACACGTTAATCAAATTGTGTTAATGGGGTTAGCCGCTAGAAACAGTTGCCGCTGGAGGGCAGCACATCTGCAGAGGTGAAGATTATCCGCGTACCCAGGTGCACACCCGGGATAGAGTGGGGGAAGTGGGTGTTTATTCTTTTGTGTGTGCTGAAGAGTTATGTAATATGTTTGTTGAGATTCACTGTGATATTAGTGGTGCATATGTGAAGTGGGTGTTTATTCTTTTGTGTGTGCTGAGGAGTTATGTAATATGTTTATTAAGATTCATGTATGTATGTAGGTACATGTATGACCTGCAGAAGAGCCCCTACTGTCGTACACCACCTATATTCGCGCTGACAATATATATACGTGCGTGCGTGGGTGTGCACGTACAAGTGCGTGCGTGCGTGCGTGTGTGCGTGCGTGCGTGCGTGTGCACGTACAAGTGCGTGCGTGCGTGCGTGCGTGCGTGTGGTCATACATGTACGTGCATGCGAGCGT